AGAAAATAAAAATAGTTAGAAGGATAGACTGGTGCTAGTTGAAATTTGATATTCGAGATATCAACTGTACAAAGTGAATATATTTTTACATAGAGAGGAGAAGTCGAGTCATGAAAATCCTTGAAGAAAATGATTATAATCATATTCATAAGGGGATATGAGTTTGTAGCTATAAATAAGTCTAAAGAATAAGTTAAATGCCTTTAGAATTTCTTGGAGGATATTCTTTAATTGATGAAACATGTGCCCACAATATGCACATATACTGTGACTCATAGAATTTCAAGTATAATGGTAAATCGAGACATATGTGTTGTCGACATAATACCGTTAGGTAATTGATCTCAAATGGAGTTATTTTTATTGATTTTGTAATATCAAATGATAACATCGTGGATCCACTAACCAAATGGTTAAATCGAGATTAAGTTAAGAAAACATCTAAAGAAATGAGACTAAAGCCTATGAGATTTAAAGTCAATATGAAGTCTCTCATCCTAAGTATGTTCCTATTATGTAAACAACGATCAAATTGGTATAGGCTAAGCAAATCTTTTAATAATCATTGTGTGCTTCGGTGAGCCGAGCAACATAAGTCATCTATGTGAGAGTGAAGTAGGGTCACTTCAAGGAGACTATCGGGCATAGTTCTTTCAAACTCTTGCAGAACTAGGTGATGTTCAAGGCTTTAAGGAAATACCAATGAGAACTAAAATTCTTGTCATAATAATGTTGTGTGAAGTATATTATCGTTTACACAAACGAAAGAATAACTCAAGGGCATCACGTCTACTAAATCAGTAGGTTAACGTTTAGTTGAGATTGACAATAATTTTTTAACATAAAAATAAGTTTGGAACATATGAATAGTCGAATAATTATATTATAACTTTTAATAGTCAGAAGACTCAACAAAGTAACACCTTATAATTGGAAATCAACTTATAATTTTTAATAGCTGAGAGATTTAACAAAAAAATGTCTTGAAATCAAGAGATCATTTATCTGCTTTACCCTATAAATTAATACAAGTTATATGATTTTGCCTTCTACGCTATGTACCTCTTAGTTTAGTTCCTTGCCTTGTATTTTCTTTTTTTTCTTTTTTCTTTTTTCTTTTTTGAATTAATCTCTGATATCCGATTTATTGACCGACTAATTCAGATCGGGTACTGCAGAGGTGAGGGCGACCCTCCCAACCCAGTTTGATTCATTCGCAAACGTCAGGATTCGAACTCCTGACATTGATTAAGAGATCTAATTAGTGGACTTTCGACAACCCTAAAAGACCGAACGTCATATCTTTTACGTGTGAATACGATCAAAGATATCAATGAAATATTGAAATTGTTTAATCAAGAAAAGTAAAAACATTATATTGATTAAATTTAGTCTTACACGTGGACTAATGAAAATAATGGGGCATGCATGGATGTAGTTAAAAGGGGCAGAGAATTTTGGTTCAGTTAGAGATAGCTTGAGTTGGGCTCGATAGCGAATTAGATAATGTTAGATTCGTGTTCGTTTAAAATTTTTGTTATTTGATTCGATTCATTTCTCGTTAAATTTGTTAAAATTTTATTCGATTCATGCTCGTTAAAAATACTTGTTGCTTAACATGTTGCTCATTAAGCTGACTGAAAATTTTATCTTTTTCTAACTATAGGTAAAATCTACTAATACTACATAGAATTTAACATAAACATAAATTAATAAATTTAACCAAAAATTTATCAAAAGAATGTATGAAACGATTTCAAATTTAAACTCCAAAATAAGCATCTATAAATATATTAAGATAATAATTAAGGTTTAAAATTTTTTTGGTGTAGTTAAATAATATTTATAAATTAATAATTTAGTATTTTTTTGTTGTTTATTAGAAAATTAAAATATTAGTAATTTATCATCTTTTTATTATCTATTAATAAATTAATAATTTTTTGAATGAAATATTTTTTAAGATAAATACTAAAAAATTATTAAAAAAATTAGCGACCTGCTCACGAACTTATCAAGTCCAGTTGGACTTTGTTCGACTCAACTCGTTAAAATCTCGAGTCTAACTGGAATTTGAGTCGAATCAACCTGAATCAAAATTTTATTAAATTTCGACCGAATCAAGTTTGAACTGTTCACTAACTGATCAACTCATTAAAAACCCGTAGCCTGAGTTAATCCCAATGCGGCCGCCACTCCCCTCAATCTATCTAAATATCTCTGTAGAGATTGAACTACCATACAATACCGTACTTGTCATGTTTCTGCACATATTGGAAGAAAAATAATAAGATATAACATCAGTTTCTCTGTAGAGATTGAAAGACATCTGCAAACCCCCGTGGGTGGATCATTTTTCTTTGCTTGTGGCCTAAGAAATCTTACTTGACCTGTAACAAGTGTAGATGCTATGTGCCTTTGATGGCTATGTTGGTAGTACATTCGGGGAAATATGGCAGGAATGTGTTGCACAATTTTGGAGCAGGTGTTTCTGGAAAAGACCACCATTCATAGAAAGAGGGGCGAAGCTTATGTTTCTTTCTTGTTATTTTGAATATTCTTGATGCCGAATGTAACCATTTCTGCTTTCAGGTATTGCTTTTTTCACAATTCGATGGTGGAATCCTGCAACCTTCAAAGCCATGCAACCTGAAGGAACATCTAATAGAATTTCATGGCCTTACGTAGAAGACCAATCTTTCCTTTGGACTTGGCTGTTTGGGGTACCCTTACGCAGAAATGACATTGGAACGAGGCGCAACGGAGCTCGCTTATCGTTGGCAACAAGTTGCACCAAAACTGCCAAAAGATGTCTTTATTAGACTCCAGCCTCAGCCTATTAACAATGGTGGCAACAATAAAACGGTTAGGGTTTCATTCATCGGCCATTTTCTAGGGCAAACGGATGGACTCCTGCAATTGATGAACACAAGCTTTCCCGAATTGGGTTTACAACGAAGTCATTGAACCGTTGTCTTCTATGACACAAAACAACAAAATGAAAGCGAAATATCTCCTAGATTTTAATTTCTCTTGCCTTTTATTATTTATTGTTATTGCTCGTAGTTCAAACTTTAAACACATCGTGTTAATCCATGTATAGTAAATAAGAGTATATACACATCGTGGTAATATTTTTATAATATTATTAATTAGTTCAAATCTTTCCGAGAATAAGTTTCCAACACACTAGTCAAGATTTTGTTCTCTTGCTTGAACTTTTGCCTTCCGTGTTAACAATACGAAACTATGACCACGCAAGATAATAATTCAACTCTATACTCATAATTTATTATATAGATTTGATACAAATTATATGAATTTCACCCTTACGCTGCTTATCAGGTTGGTCCAAGGCTCATATATATTTGTAGGTACGATCAATAATGTTAATTGTTTAAAATTAATTTTTTTGTTTAATTAAAAAAATAAACAAAATCCTCTTGAATATCTTCCGAAATGAGCATATCATTAGTTGCAAGGAAAATTATAAACGATCCGCCAATTATCTATTTTTAATACGTAACTTTCAAGAGTGCTGTTCATGCCTCGTCATTAGGCGTTGATACAACATGAGCTTGATTGATGGTTGACGGTGAGCTATATGCGAAGAGTTTTATATCTTGTTATCCAATATAATAGATCGTAGGAGTAAATTTTGATTTGATTTAAAAACATATATATATATATATATATATATATATATATTAATTTCGAATTATTTCAGTTTAATTATTAGAGTCTATTCAAAATTTTAGTTTTGCTCAGATTTTTTCTGATGCAGAGATCTCTGTAATTCAGAAAACTTTACCTTGGACACATATGGTGGCATTGCAGCATAAAATTTTCTCAGGTTAATCATTGTTGTGGAAGCTTATCACATTGTTTTCATTTTCAAGCAATGAAAGTGCATGCTGAATCAAGAACAAATCTATGAGGAAATGGAATGGTTGATTCTGGGATTTCATTCATTTTTCCCACCGTACGGATTCCATTCCATGTAGAACTTCCCACGTAGTACAGCTTCGGGCATCGATCATCATCTCCCATATCTTGTTTAGACCCTGTTTGGGGATCATGTTCTTGAACATAATCCGATTTGTTCTTGAAAAACACCCGCTCCCATGCAGTCCTGTTGAGTAAAACATCAACCGGAGTTCCTAGTGGGAAAATGGCATAGAAAAGTGTTGATTCCACCCATCTCATTTCGTGCATGGCAATCGTCAGAGGAGCAAGAAACCTACGAAACACGCCTTTAACGTCTTGTTTCCATAGCGGGTTCCGTTGATCAATAGCATTAGCCTTGAGGCCTCCGTTTACGTTTGGTGAAATTTGCTGCCACTTGTAAACCAAATCAGCTTGCTCGAGGGTGAACGAACAATACGTTGAATACGGTCACTATCTCCGTGACCCAAACAAGGTTGATCTTCAACGAAACGATGATAGCAAAACTCACGCCACCTCCTCCTTTAAGAGGCCAAAACAGATCTTCACCCACAATGCTAATGTTCTTGTAACTGGATTGGTTGGTTGTTATATTAGTCCATAATTCAAAAGTAGATCTATTAGATACCCATAATTAGTCAGAACATACCATTTCTCATCACCGACAATGGCCAACCACGAGAACATTGTCTTCTCGCTATTGGTGCTCTTGACGGCGTATTCATGGGCAGTTGCAGTGAGGCAAGATATGATGTTAAAAAACAACCATATCCGCATCACCAATGATTTGCCTAAAGATATATTTCATTTATCTTCACCAAACGCGCCACAGCTTTTTGTGCATTGCAAGTCCAGTGACCGAGATATCGGGCCCAAAGCCATGTTGAACGGCGAGGTTTACACCTGGGATACGAAAATAAACTTTTTCCGAACCACCCTGTTTTTCTGCTACGCACGGTGGGAGAATTTTCTCAAGAATGGAACTTTCGATCTTTTCAAGGCCACCAGAGACGAAGACCGGTGCTTAGAGCATCAAGACACTTGCTTTTGGTCGGTAAGGAGCGATGGGTTTTATTTCAGCAATACATGGGAGTAGCAGCAACTGAGTTAGCAATAAAGTACACTTTATACAAATTGTGAGAAATAACATAATTGCAAACATGCTAATGATCTAGTGGCAACTGACAGCAAGCCTCTGAGAAAAAAAAATAACGGAGAATTACAAGGTGATAGAGGCAGAGAAGAAGTGAAACATATCAAGCTCGTTGTTTACTAAGCCGCCAAGAATTAGGTTCATGATATCTATCATAAAGTGGTTCAATACGTTCTTGACGCTTCCGCTTGCTCATTTTCGTGGGATCTGCAACTTTGAAGAACCTAGGTGCAAGTTCAACCAGCCACTTAGGATCTACCACTGATACCTCTCGCATGTACTCCTTTGTAGTCATTACCAGTTCGTGGTATATCACCCAGTCCGGTTGTCTCTGAAAAAGGGCACTGCTTGGGTGTATATAAACAGCTTGATTCTCCACCAGTGTTCTATATCCTTCCTGCGGGTCTTTCCTCGCAGCATGGAAAAAGAATCCTCCCGCGATTGCTTTCCTGATCTTTGTAAAGTTCTTTCCGGCACTCACTACATCCAATTTGTACCTGTAAATTTTAAAAAAAAAAACATCAGCTTTCCGTTACAACCTCAAACACGAGTAATAACTTTTAACGACTTAAAAGATAGATCAATAATCATACTAGTGAACCTAACAGATTCGAACAGAGGAATGAATCAAGTGAAAGAGAATATGATTGGTCATTGCTAACACAGAGTGTGTCCAGATTATTACTAGTCGGAGGCTACCATGATTCATAAAAGAGCAATAAAGCAAGTTCAAAGAAGACATTCACAATTGAATTTGCATTCTCCTAAGGGCAATCCACAGTTCCTAGCATATAACACCCAAAAGTAAGAAACTTAGAAAGCATGTAGCTTAGGAATTTTGGCGGTTAATTAAGCTCAATCATTCTGTGTATATTACGAAACTGCAGTTGGTGTTATGTGCTTATCCTTGTAGTAATAATCATGTCAAATGTAAGATTTGTACAACTAGGGGTGACAAAAAATGTTGAAAAGTGTAAAAAAACCCTAAACTATGCAAGAAAGTAACCTATCAGACATCAGGACACCGTTACAATCATAGAACCATAATGTAAATCATGAATGGAAATATCAAAACCAGAGGCAATTTGCAAAAGCAAAAACTAGATGAACATACTTGTCCATGATGCTGAGAAGCTGTTTTCTGACATCCTGTGCCCTCCTCAAGGATCTAGACTGAACAAAATTTTCGAAACACCAAGGCCCTGAAAAATTCTTTGCTTTCCAAGCTTCATATACAGCAAGTAGAGTCAAATGATCTCCCTCGGGCTGGAAAAATTTGGCCCTCTTCTGATCAGCCTGAGCTTGCTTTTCCCTTGGTCTGTAGAAGATGTTACCTGTTTGGATCATTGCAATAATTGTTAATATCTCATCGCTACACCCAAGGTCCACACTGGCCAGTAACATCTTGCATAATGGAGGATCAAGAGGAAATTCTGCCATTTTTCTACCCAACTTAGTCAAAAGTCCCTCCTCATCTAGAGCTCCTAGACTGTACAACTGCTCCATGGCAGAAATGAGAGCTTGGTGTGCAGGGGGATCCATAAAATCAAAAGAAAGGAGATCATTTATGCCCATTGCCTTCAGTTGTAGTGTTACCGTACCAAGATTAATCCTCTGGATTTCTGGAATTGTGGTAGGTGACATCTCATTTCGGTATGCACTTTCAGTGTACAAACGGTAGCATTTTCCAGGTCCAGTACGTCCCGCACGCCCAGCACGTTGCTTTGCTGATGCTTGCGAGATTGGTGTTATGACCAGGGAATCAAGCCCTAGCTTTGGATTATAAACATTTTGTTTTGCAAAACCAGGATCAACCACATAATATATGCCATCTATAGTTAAAGAAGCCTCAGCGATATTTGTTGCAACCACCACCTTCCTTTTCCCTGGAGGTGCAGGATCAAAAATCCTAGACTGCATTTCACTAGGAAGGGCACTATAAACTGGTAAAATAATCAACTCAGGTACATTTTGACCAAGTCCTTTCATCCTTTCATAAAGAGACTGGCATGCAAAATCAATTTCCTCCTGACCAGTCAAAAAGAGGAGAATGTCACCTTCAGGTTCAGTCAAGTGTATCTGTAGGACTGTTATCAAAGCAGCATCAAGGTAGTCACTCTCAGGCTGTTTTGTATAGAGTATCTCCACAGGGAACGTTCTCCCAGGAATTGTGAATATATTACAGTTGAAAAAATACCCTGAAAACTTCTCTGCATCCAGTGTAGCAGATGTGACAATCAGACGAAGATCAGGTCTCCGTTTCACAAGAAGCTTCAGTAACCCAAAAAGGACATCGGTATAAATTGTGCGCTCATGTGCTTCATCAAGCATGATGACCGAGTATTGTGAAAGATTATCATCATTCAGTATCTCCTTTAGAAGCATACCATCAGTCATGTACTTTATGACAGTATCTGGTCCAGTACAATCTTCAAAACGAATGGCATAACCAACTTCCTCACCTAATCGACAACCAAATTCCTCGGCTACCCTCTTCGCCACAGACATTGCAGCCACTCTGCGGGGTTGAGTACAACCGATCTTACCCCTTGTAGTGTACCCAGCCTCAGCAAGGTACTGGGTTACCTGCGTTGTCTTACCAGAGCCAGTCTCACCAATGACCACCAGTACCTGATTATCAAGCACAGCCTGAATCAGTTCCTTTTTCAGTTTATAAATGGGCAGGCTCTGCCTCTGCTCTTGGATTGAAAGTTTAGACCTCTGCCCAAAAGTCAAAGCTTTTCCATAGGCATCCTTTTTCCATTCAGGAATATCATATGCCAACAATCCAACACCTCTAAGCTCCTGTGCGAGATGCCTCTCACCAGTCTCCGGCATTGGGTCTTCCCAAGGACGGTTTAGATCCTTTGGAATTGAATCAAGCATTGTCCTCTGCTGCTGCTCTCGTACTTCTCTTCTTTCCTTAATAAGTGCAGACTGAAGAGCAGCAGCACGACTCAAGGAGCCTTCTGGATTCTTAAATATCTTTACCGGTGACATATCTACGGAGTACCTAGTCTGCCCTTGCAAAAAGGCAGGTTCATCCTCATTTATCTCAATCTCAAGCTCTTCCTCAGCACCCTCTTCTTGATAAAGCACTCCATCACCGTTCTCATCATACATGGGATACTCATCTAGTCTCAAAACACCAGAAGCAATCAACTGTTTGGCTTCCCATCTCTCCGGTGAACTCATTCTCTTCAGTGGTCTACGTGATGGAACAGCATCCTCATCCTCTGAAATCTTAATCCCTGAAATACCAGTTCTCATCACAGGCCCTTCTTTCCCCCCTGAAGGATTAGTTCTAAACACATCATCATCCAAACTCTCCTTCAACGGAAGCAAATCCTTACCAGTATTCTGATCAACATCTCTCATGGACAAACTCAACTTCTGACCTGAAATAGAAATTACCTTCACAAAAACCTCTTGATCCCGTTTTACAACATCTTTAGCATTGGGAATCCTTCTACTAGCCATCTGAGAAACATGAACCAAACCCTCTTTCCCCCTTAAATCATTCAATTGCACAAAACAACCCGAATCCATCACTCTCGAAACCCTACCCTTGTATACCTTAGACAATTCAGGCTCATTATCCCTATACTTCCCATTACTCCTCCCCCCATCTTCATCACCTTCCACATTATCCCGGTCCCTGTTCCTTTCCCTATTCCTATATTCTTTGTCATCCACATTATCTCGGATTCGATCCCTATTTTTTCCCCGTCTGCCATAACCCCTCCTATCGTCATCATCATCATCTTCCTTAGATTGATCTCTATGCCTACCCCTATCCCTATCCATCTTATCTCGCATTTCCATCTCAATTTTCTTCTCTAGTTCTTTAGCCCTATTCTTATCATCTGCAATCGCTAAAGCATTAAATTTAGACTTCTTACCGTCACCGGCGTTTTCCGCCATGGATTCCTTGTCGGAGGCTTTGGGTTTTGGAGGCAGAATCGCGTGGATAATAGTGAGAAGCGTGCGGACGAAGTAATCGGGTAACTCGGCGCCGTTTTCTTTGAGCTTGGCATCGAACTCTTCGACAGTGTTGGAGTTGCGGCCCATTTCAGTGATGAATTCGGCCAAAGTCTTGTCGGAAAACCCGACATGGCTCTGCAGTTCGGAACTGACTTTGGAGACAAGAGAGAGATATTCGAGTTTCTTCAGAGCATCGTCTTGTGGACACGATGCCATCGACGTCCAGAGAGAATCAATCCTCTAGATGTTTCTTAAGGATTCACAGTCTTGTATGATTAGTGCATTTGGTCAATTTGATTGACTAAAAATTTTGCAGTTCACTCATTTTATGAGGATGAAAATTTTCTTCCCGAAACATCACGAAAGTTCAGTCATCTTTGGTAGGCCGAAATGGACTGTTTTTATTATGAAAATATAAGTAATTTTGTTTTTAAAAATATCTACTCCTATAGTCTATGCTTTTTAAATCAAGTTTGATGCATTTGTTAGTTATCAAAGTAAAATTCAATTCGACTGAACAAATAATTATTATATTTAAATTAATTCAAATTTTTAGTTAGGGTAAGTTTAAATTTATAAAGATTAAATAATTAAAAAGATAAATATTAAAATAATTCATATTTTGATGTTTAATTAAATAATTTGATTATTTATTTGGTTTTTCTTTATTTTCAATTAACTTTTGATTATATTGGAATTGCATGTTTTTCAACAGGTACAACTGTCAAATAATTTAATTAAATTTTCGGTTTTATGGGTGATTTAAATTTTTTTTATTTAAATTCAAATTTAAATTCTAACTTAATTGAGGTAATTGGAGTAACTCAAAGTACAAAACAAATATTTTTTCAATCAATCTGAATTCGAACACCCGTAATTATTTATGTAGTTTTTAGCTCGTCATGTCATGTCATGATCACGATCGTGATCATCTTTCGAAACATAGAGGTGACAAACGGGTCATTTCAATCGGGTTTGCGTCAGGTTATTTTAGATCTAGATTATATTTAGTATAATTTTTTTGGGTCAGATCGAATCTGATTCGGATCTAGTACGGGTTAGGTGATTATCGGATCGATTGTTTTTCGATTCGAATCAATATCAGATCTGTTGTTTTTTGGGTTAGGTTAATATCGAATTAATTGATTTTTGGGTCGAATTAATATCGGATCGGTTAGATTTCGGGTCCGACCAATATTAGATCGGTTAATTTTTTATTTTGGTTAATCTTTAGATCATGTCAATTCAGGTTGAATTGCTTATGAGTGTAATCAGCTATATATATATAATTATTGATATATTCTTGTAAAAAATGTTTTCTTGTTTTTTAATCTTATCATTTAGGTCTAATTTCAATTTTCAATCGTTCAACATTTTGAATTAAACCATCATTTAGAGATGATAAATCAATAATTTGACACAAATATAATCCTATAATGCATATTAAAGCTTGTTATCAAAGTTTTATATTGATCTTGTATGGAAAGTTTATCTATATGATAAAAAAATAATTTTTTATTAAAAATTTTATTTCCGATTATAAATTTAGTATTTTTATTAAATTTTAAAAAATAATACATAATTTTATTTGTTAAGTTTTAGTCGTAACATAAGTAAACATTATATTATTTTTATTATAAAATCTAATATTATTTCATTTGTTTTAGTTGTTTACTATTATTTTTATTATAAATTTAATATTTATATTACAAGTAAGAAAAATAAATTTTATTTATTAATGTTTTTAATCTTACAATGAGATTCTTACTTTTATATTCCTCTTATGTAACATGAGTAAACTTTTTATTATTTTTATTATAAATCTAATATTTTTATTACAATTAAGATAAGTAAATTTTATTTGGTACTGATCTTACAATAAGATTCTTATTTTTAGTTCGGATTGCTTTTAGGTCAGATTAAATTCGGTTCGGGCTGCTTTCAGATCGGGTTAATTTCAGTTTGGGTTGCTTTCGGTTCGGGTTAATTTCGGTTCGGTTTAATTTCGGTTCAGGATGCTTTGGTTCAGGTTAATTTCTGTTTGAGTTGCTCTCGGTTCGGATTATTTTCAATTCGGATTGCTTTCAGTTTCGCTAAATTTTGGATTAGGTATGCATCAGGTCGGGTATGAGTCAGGTATCATATCAAATTTCATTATCATGTTTGTCATAACCATTTTTTTTGTAAAACAATTCTGTATTATTTTAAAAACGATTACGACTTTATTTTGGAAAAATTGGTGATTTGTAATTAATTTGAATTAAATTGAATAGAGTCGCCATCGACCTTTGGGTTAGGTAGGCCGAATACCTAAAAACGTCTTTTAAAACAATTTTAAGAAAGATCATTTTTAAGACAAAAATAGTCTGCGTTTACCAAAGATTCAATTAAAATGGATTCGGGAGTCGGTTACGTGTGGGGAAGGATAAACACCCCCACAACGCCCAAAATTGGTACTGTGTCGCTTACACATCGTCGTAAATGGTGGAAATTACAATTTGAATATGAAGTAAAAAAAATGATCCATTTATTGAATATTAGTTAAAATAATAGAAATACTTCACTTGGTAAGAAATCTCGAGATTTGCAATCCTCCAACGGGAAAGCTATCTCATCTATTTCTCATCTATAAAGTATATCCTATCTTTGAATTACCACTAAATAATATCATCATGAGTAAAAAATAAAATATGCTTAATTTATGTATCGTTAATATCAACATAACAACCATTAATACAATAAAAATTATGAAAATAGAATAATAAATAAATTATGATCTATTTATTGAATATTAGTTATAAATAAATAAAAAAGATCCTTTTCTCGATAAGAAATCCCGAGATTTGCAATCCTCCGCCGGGAAAGCTACCTCGTCTATTTCTTACTTGTAAAGAATATTTTCTCTTTAAAAAAAAATGACGAAAATTGACATAATGCATCACACTATACTTTTCCAAAGCATACATCACTCATATTAAGATTCAATGAAGAAATAATAATAAAGATTAAAATTTAAATATTAAACAATATGAACATCAAATAAATTAACAAAAAATAAAATAACAATAAAAATAATTTCTATAAGCTTGTAAAAGGAAGAATTTGCATTTTTTATTCTGTTCGAACGTCGTATCGGATTGTACCACTTCGATCAAGTGATACTTTCCACGCCCGTTCTATAAATATGTGTTCTTGAAATTATTCGAATAATATACAATAGAGAAATACAATGGGAATAAATATAAATAAAATATGCGACATAGAATCTTTACATTAAATAAAACAAACAACATTATTTACATAATACAAATAACCAAATAACAACATCATATAAAACTGACTACAATAAAAATAAGTAAATATTACAAATTAAGATAAAATGATCAAAAAGCAAGTAAAAAGGACTAGAATAACAAACACATAAACTCAAAGAGCCAAAATGGTAAAATCAGGAACTTAAAGGACTACAATGAAAGAAACAGAAAATAAAAATTAAAATAGCAATTTCAGATAAATCAGAGTCCATACTAAAAAATACTAAATAGCATATGTACTAAGCTAAAAATGAACCATAAATCATGTACAGGACTAAAATGAAAAAAAAACAGGAACATAAGGATTCAACAGCAGTTAAACCAATTTCCACATGATGATTAAATTACAACACTTATAAATGCCGTGACCAAAATCAAATGTTAATAGAAATGTCATAACAAACAATAACAGTACTAAGTTATAAGTTCTGAAAACTTATTGCTCGAAATCAAAGAAATTATCATTTCATTTAATGGTCTAACAATATGATTACAAGACCCTAGGGACTAAAAGTGTAGTTAACCCACACGAGGAAAATGCAGAACCCTTCTTTCTAAAACACGGCCGTTTCACACGGGGCATTAAAGCCCTAAAACGAGATTGGCCCTCATTCCCTCATCTCTACTTCTTCCCTTCTTAAAACAGAGAGCCAAAGAATGCTCTCAAAGTTCTCCCTCTCCGCCTCTGTCTCCGCCGTGGAGAGAAAAAAAAGGCCACGGCCGCCGCAGCCAGCGGCGATGGCTTGAGAGATCAAACCACGACCAACCCTCCTCTCTTCCTTAGAACAAATAACCTTTCTCCTACCCCAAGCAAAAAACCGAAAACCCCTATCCGAAAACCCTAGATCCAAAATAAGGGACAGTTTACCTTCAATGCGGCCTTCTCTGTTCTGGCTAGGCTACAACGACGAGGTTTTCTACAAGGGTAAGATCTCCTTCACTTTGTTTTTTTTTTTAGCCCTCCCTCTCTTTTCTGGTTATCACCGCCCTCTTTTCTCTTCTTTTTGTCTTTTATCTTTTCTTGCATGTGGATTTCCCTTGAGATCATGATGATATCTAGGTAGATAGCCTTTGATTTCTCTGATTTAGGTGAATAAAATCCCGATTTTTCGGGATTTTCGGGTGTTATTTTAATGGGTTTTTAGATTTGGTAAGTTTAGGCCACTATTCTTTGATTTGGTTACTGTTTTTACAGGGACCGGTCACTGTTTGATGGATGGATTCTTCACAGCTCCGATGACAGCGGCGGTGAGGGAAGCAGCCAGCTTGACCGGCTGGGCAAATGAAGGTCCAACGGCTGTGGCGGCTGAGGCAGAGAAGGGTCACACGGCGGCTGGAAGGGGATTAGGGTTGAAACCCTAAATTGATTTAGGGTTTGAAACCCTAAATTGATTTAGGGTTTGAAACCCTAAACTGATTTAGGGTTTGAAACCCTAAACTGATTTAGGGTTTGAAACCCTAAATTGATTTAGGGTTTGAAACCCTAATCTGATGGGTTGTTGGGGACCGGGATTGGGCCAATGTAATCTGAATTGGGCTTAGGGTCTCTGGGCCAAATGGGCTTCGGGTTGTTGGGCCTCTGTAATCTGAATTGGGCTTAGGGATTAGGCCTGCAAAAATTGTAATAATAATAATAATAAAATAATAATAATGATAATAATAATAATAATAATAATAAAATAACGGAAAAAAAACCCGGACAAAAACGGGTGTTTACAGCTGCCCCTCTTTGCACATTCTTGTGTTAACAAGAATAGGGCAAAGACGACAAGAAAACACGTTTTTTTGTCTGGTTCTCCTCTTTTTGGGTTTGAAAAGATGGATAATTTTGTTGGTGGGGACGACACTGCTCGTACGCAATGAAGAGGTCTGGTCGTCTAAGGGTGACATGGCTCCTACGTGATGAGGAAATCTGGTCATTTTTAGGGATGATAACTCGGTTCCTACGTAATGAGGACGACTGGTTATCAGGTTGACACGGCTCTTACGTGATGAAGAGATCTGGCCATCTAAAGGTGAT